TGGGAGGGGAGGACAAAACAACTTCGGGTCCAGGACAGGGAAGGGGTGTTCAGATTCGGCCACCTTGACCTTTCTAGGGAAATCACTTAACTCAGAGGCTGTTGTTTCAACATCAGTAATTTGCAGAACTCAGTAGTGTACCCCCTAAGAGAAATGAAGGGAAGGAAGGCGGACCAATCTTCCTGCAATTAAGTAGCAAATGAAAAAAATGCAATTTTTAAGAGTATCTGGGAAGCTGTATGGAGTGCTGAAAGGATTAACTGCAGAACCACTGTAAAAGTGATTCTTCAGTGAATAGACAGGAGGGGGAAAGTGGTTTTTCTGATGGGGCAGGGGGTACTAGAGGTTACCTGATGTTTAGGAAAAATAGTTTAGTGCCAAATTAAGGGTTTTGTCTTGTCCCTTTGGAGAAGCCTCTTTTAAGCAGTATTTTGTTTACCTGGGCTGAGTTAGTAGAGCTGCAGGACCCTCCAGTGCCCTGCTCCCCTGCTGTGGCTTCCTTTCATTCTCTCATTCCCTGGGAGGCTGCTGGCCAGTCCGCAAGAGCATTCCTGGGGCTGGGAGTCGCAGGGGGGGCAGCCTATTCTCTGCGTTACCATCTTGCTTTCTGAGAGTCGTTTATTCGAGCCACTGCAGCAAATATCACCATTGTGCGTTTGCCTGGAACCCTTAGGATGAGAAAAGCTATCTCTCTATGGGAGGAAGAGAGACTGAACCTCACTCATACAGCCAATGCTGATCCCAGGGCAGTGAGGTGTCAGGGAATGCTTGCTGACTGACTCACTACAGAAAAGGAGGACAAGGCACTGGTGGGGGGTGGCAGTGTATCCCATGGGCACCCATCGCAGAGTCCTCAGGGCTGTGATGATGCCTCCTGGGATGGGCTCCAGCTCCTCGTCATCTGAGGGGTAGGTAGCCCTTCCTCCTAACCCATCTCCATTCTGCAGTCACAGACTGTGATAAGCTGATCTCTTGCCACAGTGGATATGTTTGCTAGAAATATATAAAACATATAGAAATATACATATGTATTACATATATGTATATATATATACACATATATATATGTCTGCGTGTATGTGTGTGTGTGTATAGTATTCAGTATGTTCTACCTATCAGAAATTGCCATCGTTTGGAATGGACTATAAGAAAAGTGACTCCGAGCCCACGGGTTCGAGACCAGCCTAGGCACATGGTGAGACCTCGTCTCTATAATAAATAAAAAAATTAGCTGGGCATGGTAGCATGTACCTGTAGTTCTGACTACTTGGAAGGCTGGGGCAGAAGGACTGCCAGAGCCCAACAGGTCAACGGTGGGGTGGCCGTGAGCGTGGCACTGCATTTCAGCCTGGGCAACAGAGTGAGACTCCAACTCAAAAAAAAAGAAAGAAAAAAGAAAGGAAAAGGAAAGCTAAGAAAACACTTTTACTCCTTCACGTAGAGTGTCTAAGACATGAGGATTCACTTCATTCTGAGATGAGATACACAATGCTTCAATCAGTGGGTGATAGTCATCACAGATGGAGGGAGAGCGACATACCTGAACTCACATCCTTGAGTGAGAGCACTCTTCTACTGTCTGTGCTGTGTTTTTACATGCCTTTGGGAAATAACCAGTACCCTGACATAGTATTCTCAGTTTTCGTATTTATTTTTTGATTGCCATGAAAACCTATCTCAGAAGTATTTTTAAATGCTGGATCAGGAAGCTGCTTTAAACATGGCATGATGCAAGTTGCAGATAAATAAGGACGCAGTGGTACAATTTGTAGGCCAGGCGTAAACACCATCACATCTAAAGTACCAACAGTGATTTTGGAATTTGCAAGCTGTGGTGATGTCAGTTGAGTTGGGTGACTTGAACTGACAGACCAGCCAGCCGTGTGGACAGGAGCTTAGAGGCCCATAGAGCCTTTGGGAAAGCTGGGTAGCAGGAGGCCATGCCAAGAGGACAGCTTCTAGTGGGACAGTCTGGATGGAATGTTAGAGAGAAGAAGGGGGATGCAGTGAGAGGTGAAAGCCATTGAGAAACCTAAAAGGCATGGAAATAAAGTTACTAATAATAAATAATATATGTGCTTTGATTTCGGGGTCTGCTGAATGATAGGTGCTGTGTATACATTTAGTTTACCTTAATACTCCATAGCGTCCTGTAAGATAGTCTTGATCATCCAGTTCACAAA